CAAACCCCCAAAAAGGCAATGTTATACCATTTTCAATGGTGTTTACCATGACAAACCAAACGATCACGACATTTTAAGTACAGTATCAGTAAGCATTTTAGCCTATTTTTGCAACCCGTGTAATATGAAATATTATGATTTGTATAATTTTATTGAAATATTAAGGACTTTGGGTGGTTGCCATAGCAACTTCATATGTCATAACTTTAACCAGCGGCTGCCAGGCAGGATACGCCCACATTTTCGAAAGGGTGTAATGGTGATATAATAATACAGTTTTTTAAATTGGATAAAAATTGTGACCTCTATAGGGTCCACAATCTAAAAACGCGATTTTTCGTACAATCAGGGGCCATAATTCAGGAACTTTCGTTCCGATATGTGCGAATATCGAAAGGAAGCGAGATCTTTGGGTTATAAACTCACATTTCAAGTTTCAACAAAATCTGATAAAAATTATGACCTCTATAGGGTCCACAACCTTGATATACCACATTTTTACGCTATTTGAGAACGAAGGGTGGCCATTTTGTCTGTCAATTTTGGGCCAATTTTCACGAAATTCGAACTTAGCCATCCCTAGGGTGTAACAGTGATATAATAATACTTTTTTTTAAATCGGATAAAAATTATGAACTCTATAGGGTCCACAAGCTAAAAACGCGATTTTTCGTACAATCAGGGGCCATAATTCAAAAAGTTACAGTCCGATGTGCGCGAATATTGAAAAGGAACCAAGATCTTTGGGTTATAAACTTACATTTCAAGTTTCAACAAAATCGGATAAAAATTGTGACCTCTATAGGGTCCACAACCTTGATATACCATATTTTTACGCTATTTGAGAACGAAGGGCGGCCATTTTGTCTGTCAGTTTTGGGCCGATTTTCACGAAATTTGAACTCAGCCCTCCTTTGGGTGTAACGGTGATATAATAATACGTTTTTTTAAATCTGATAAAAATTATGACCTCTATAGGGTCCACAAGCTAAAAACGCGATTTTTCGTACAATCAGGGGCCATAATTCAGGAAGTTACGGTCGAAAGGAATCGAAATCTTTGGGTTATAAGCATACATTTCAAGTTTAAACCAAATCGGATAAAAATTGTGACCTCTACAGTGTTCACAAGCTAAAAACGTGATTTTTCATACAATCAGGGGCCATAATCCATGAAGTTACAGTCCGATGCATGCCAATATCATAAGGAACCGAGATCTTTGGGTGATACACCTATATTTCAAGTTTCATTGAAATCGGATAAAAATTGTGACCTGTAGACTGTTCACAAACAATTGTGGACGGACGGACGGACGGACGGACGGACGGGGCCGACGACAATATACGACCACATTTCAATGTGGGCGTATAAAAATTAACTGCAGTTTTAATTCATAACTTTATAATTATAACTCGAAAGGCGGCCGTAATCTTGGTTATGACGACATCGCCAAAGTTCAACCAATCAGACATCACCGAATCACGTCCTCCACAACGTCACATAGCAACAAGACGGGTTTGTTTACAATTTTAAATGCTGCTATTGGCTGACTAGTCAGGGGTCAAAATTCACGACGGCCCCCGAGGCAATTGCCGTAGTATTTAGCGAAATTGCCGTAGAAAATAAATAATAACTACGGCATATATAGCCGTGGTAATTTATTTAAGAATATCATGACGGCAATTTGCCGATGTTGACAATAAAATCACCGTTGTATACGTGCGTAATCCGCAGCATAATCGAAAGTAGGAATTTATTGTTTTGTTTCTTTCCTGAGTTCTCGTGACTGTATTTTTCTATCTGACCTAATTCTACCGTAACATCACATGCTGTTCGCTAGAATGGAAATACACACGGCTTGTTGTCTAGTGTATTTAATCATTTAAGAAGTTCAAAACAATTTCCAGATATAAAGGCTATGAATAATTTACTGGAAAATATGACCAAATAAAAAAATTAGGTCGGGAAAATATTGCATATAATATAATTGTTAGCGTAAATATAGACGGGGTTGTGAAAAGAAAAAAAATCCAGAGGGCGTTTACATGTCCGCCGCACGATGTGCATGTAATATTATAATGCCATGCACAGGAGTGAAGTCGTGCTTTGAGAATCAATTTGCGGTATTATTGATATTTTAGAATCAGAATTCAAAACTCAACGGCGAAGTATTCATTTAAAATGCAAGTTTGGTACCACGATACTTATATTTGGTGGAATTCACGTGGATACGGATTATAGAATTGCACGGATCTTCGTGTCGCTGAGCCAAAGCAGATTCGCGGACTTTCAAGAATTTTTAGGTCTTCTGATTTCGAAGAAATAAAACAGATTCATATTACGATATTCATATGGACTGCGGTGTACGTAAATTTAAGGGTGTTGTGGTGACCTAATTCTGGACAAATTCCGTAATAATATCGATATATATGTCAAAGTTTCCCAGTTTAAAAAAATGCCGTAGTAACGAAAGTAAATTAAAAGTTTTGCCTTAGTGCAAATAAAAACTGCTGTAGTGACGAAGGAATTACTGTGGCATTTTCGTTTCAATTTCAACCCCTGTTAGGGGTGTTGAGAATATTATAATGAGTACTATAAATAGAAAGAGGATTTTGCCCGTTGTTTTGGTATAGGTTACATGCAGGGCTTTGTTACAAGTAACTTGACCCACTTTGAGTAAACTACTCTTTAATAATTGCTCTATTTCTACCCTTTATCGACATTTTTTTTTGCAAGTAAAGTGTGCCGGCTGAATTTTAATATGATAAAGTAGGTATTCGAAAATGGTCAAAATCAAATTTTGAAATTTTTTGCACTTGTTGCTATGTGACGTTGTGGAGGACGTGATTCGGTGATGTCAATGACGTGACCTATCTATCGCGACGTCTGATTGGTTGAACTTTGGCGATGTCTTCATAACCAAGATTACGGCCGCCTTTCGAGTTATAATTATAAAGTTATGAATTAAAACTGCAGTTAATTTTTATACGCCCACATTGAAATGTGGTCGTATATTGTCGTCGGGCTCGTCCATCCACAATTGTCCGCAAGAACACCATGCAGAAGATGCTAAGGCTTCAATCACAGATTTTAACCAAATTTGGTTTATAAGTTGGGATAGTCCCAAAACACATAAATATGCAATATCAGATAAATCTTTCAATTCCAGACTGAGAAAATTGAAAAAACATTTGTCATATGGTGAAATTGCCAAAATCCGTCTTTTCTCAAATATCAACTTTGGCAAGTCCTCACACCTTTACTATACCTAGCAAAAAGACCAAACTCACACAGTTTGTATATGACCTAGTGCTGTTACCGCAAAATTAATTTCAGACGATTCTGACGCACGAGATCTGTATACGGACTGGATATCAAAGCCTATCTAAATTTCCCATTTTTCGTCACCCAAAGTTTGACAACCTATAGCTACTTCTTTCATGGGGTGGGTTTAAAAAATTTGATACAAAAAATAAAAATGACCGGAATCGACTTGACAAAAACTAGGTAAAGGAAAAAATAACCCATGAAATTAACCTGTAAATTCCCTATTTGGGAGATAATTAACCGTAGTAGATAAAAAAAAAATAACAATTTTTTTTTTCTTTTCATTCATATAGTGTTTAGTATCTGTTTTATAAAAATGTCTTGAAAAAATACTTTAAAAGGCCTGTAATTGTTCATGGTCCATCTGACGCTGACGGGTATTGACTTCCGCAGTTGTCCACAAGCTTCCATTGGAGTATCGACGTGCTCAATGAAATGATGTTAACAAAACATATCCATTACTCTCAAACAGACATTATTTTAAATAAAATAATCCAAACAAAAATGAAAAATTCACCTAAAAGTGAGATTCAAACCACCAATCGCATGATTGCCCCCCGATCCACCCCCTCACCGAGTTGCTTGTCCCAGGGCCCCAAGGTCCATGTCGCGGGCCTTGTTCAGGGGATTGCCTAGGGCCTCTTTTATTCTAAATCCGGCCCTGAAGATGTAGCTGACGGTGCTAGAGAACCGTAGCTATCATGCTACACTGTTCAATGTCGGCCACTTCGACACAAGGCTGCGTTGCCGTTAAAATTTAAGCTTCCACATTTCTGTATTGTAGAATTGTAGAAATCAGTGGATGTGTTCCAAAATGAATAGTGGAAACATGCTCTGAAACTGAACGTTTTGTAGCCATTTTCAGTGACCTGTTGGAAAATGAAACCTTAAAGAGACAATACAACAAATATGTTAAAGGAACAATACGACAATACAAAATATACAATAAATGCAAATATACACTTATATACAGTACCACATGGTACAAATGATGGCTATGGTTATGATGAAAACGTATAAACGTCAAAAATTTTATTTCTCTAATTCAATTTGCAAAAAAATGTATCACAAAAGCTTATTTTTAGCACTTTTCAATAAGCTCTATATTTTAAGTATGTTCCATTCAGGTCATTTTTTTTTTTACACCTATTGATACTATGTGCTTAGCATTTCAAAACCATCCGAAGAAATTCTACTTCCGACCATGAAAGAAAAAGTTACAGTGTATCTTTTTCTGTACTACTGTGACAATGTGAATATGGTACCCTAAAATAAGTCCACAATAAATTAGTATGGACTGATTTTTTTTTTCAAATTAGTGCTTATAAAACGCTTTAAATACACATGTGAAAACCAAAATTTTACCCATAAAATGACTATTTCCAGTACAGTCCTTTATAGCGACATCAGGTTGTAACCACTTCAGCATGCCACCTCTTGCCTCTAGGGATTGTCATACCATAAGTTTGATCAAAAACTTCCGCCCCCCCCCCCCATCTTAGCACATTTTGCGATTTTTTCCTGGTCTTCTCGCGGATACACTCATAATTAGAAATCTACTTGTGCGACTTACGACTCATTTTGCTATCACCGGTCACATATGTCAATCAAGTCTATATCACATACCATCACACTATATTTACTGCATTTCATGTAAAGAAATATAATATTACCTTGCATGCTATCAAGACTTTTCCTTGGTGAAGATCGGGTAGCCATTCTAGTAGAGGATAATAAACCACCCATACTTGTATCTATTGATGTTGGCTGACTGGTTTTTAATGGAGATTTTACTCCAGTTTTCTATAACAAGAAATGATGAGTAAAGTATGATGGAAACAATATGAACCAGCGGCTGCCAGGCATGATACGCCCACATTTTGCAAGAGATGGATAGAGAACAAGCTAAAACCAAATGCGATTTTTTGTACAATCGGGGGCAATAATCCAGGAAGTTACCGCCTGAAATGTGCAAATATCAAAAGGGACAGAGATCTTTGGGATATAAAGATATGTTTTAAGTTTCATCAAAATCAGATAAAAATTGTGACCTCTATAGCAGTGCTTGCCATGAAGAATCACTGCGTGAGTACTCCATTACTCAAGCAAAATAAGACTCTGCATGAGTTTGGCGAGTAACTGACTTACTCACGCAAAATTTTCCTAGGGGAGTAAAATTACAACAGAGACCAAGAACTCTGACAAATGGAAGCTAGGCATAGACTCCATTGATTAACTTCCATTCCAAAGTTGTAAAGACTGTATTTTCTAATGTTCTTCACTAGAAGTGAGCCTTCTTGTCATTTGTAGTATTATTAATATTAATTCAACACTTGAACTTTTATTCATTCTAATTCCAAAAAGAAAACCTATTTGTGCGAGTGCCTAGATTAATTTAATAAAGAATAATAAAAGAATATTTTGTCCAATTTATTTTGGCTGAATGTGAAAATAATAGTAGTTTAAAAAAATATGAAAGGCTTCTGTCGAAGGAACAAAGACAACTGGTGAAAATAATAGTAGTCGATCGTGTGTAAAGTCTAATGTAAGACCCTTGTGACTTGTCGTTTGGGGTCATATTCATCTTTATTATAACAAATGTTTTTCGTTATCCTGTTTAGCTAAGATAAGTAGGTTTTCAAAAATACGTCTCTACCCTTTTGTAATATACATTAGATGTTTGAAAATCGTAGAATGTACTGTTGTCCCACAATGTTAACAGTGGCATCGTCTGCTAAAATATACTAATAATTAATAGTTTAGTAATTAAGAGTCATTCCACGAGAAAACCATGCAGGAGGTGGGAAGGTGGGGGTCGGCAGATCAAGTTCATCTCTGGGGGAATTTATGGACTCCTCAGGACTACTTCACAGCCAGGAAGGACGATCTCAAAATTTCACCGTTATTGAGAAACAGCCTCTGGGTGATTTTTGGCCAATTTTGCCATTTTTCAGGTTATTTTTCAGCCACGTAGTGTAGCAAGTCCAGGGTTTGAATGGAAATGGTTGTGATTGGTGATGTTAGTGGGGGTCTTCCTGTGCCCCACTGTGAACACCATAAAGTCGCATCTATTCTCTGGGAGCAATGATCAGCAAAATTGTAACATATGGCGACTAAAACCGAAAATATACCCATGCGGAAATTAGCTCTATTTTCTATAATGCGGGGGTAGGTCAAAATATCGAAATGGTTTTATGCACAGCTCGACACACACTATCGATATAAAAAATAAAATCTCTGTCACCTCTCTTCAATCAATGCGAAATAATAAGTCAAAGTTGGTGAATTTTCCCTATTGTAAATCTCCCATTCTCTATGAAATGGCCAACTACTTTTATTCAGGGTAAGCCAGCTTTCTCCGTTTCTTCACCAAATCATTCGCCAGCGCTCGCAGGTAGCAGCCTGAAACCCGCTCGAGCCAAACTAGTCTCTTTGATGATTGATATCCAATCCATGATGGCCGCGCCCGAGACCGCAGAAAATTGTGTTTTTTTCTTCATTTTTAGCCATAGAATGTGGTACATATCCCAGATATGAGCAATGAAATGACTTAATAGATTGAAAGAGTGTACTACGGACATTAAGGCCCGTCCTTTAGCACATTACATAGCAATAAGTGAATTGAGAACCGAATGGGAGCTGATTTCTTGACGAAGTGAGATTTTTGATCTTGATAAGTCGATTCTAGATGGAAAGGTGATATGTGCGGTCCATCGCTACCGCCTGGGTCTCAAATGGAATATTCCAAAAGGATGTAAACAATATGCTGTCCATAATGAGGAAATGGGCTGTCAAAAGAGCCAATTTACTACACCACCTCAGGTTAGTTCTTCAAATAAATGATGACGTAGGGTCAAAAATTAAACTTCATCATTGGATCATTTTCAGAGCCCAAAATAAATCTTGCCATGCCCTTTAAAACTAAATTTGTATATGGACATTTCTATCAGGGCCCACCTCTCAAAATATTGTTGATATCAACCCCAACATATATGGGCCATTGAAAATTTTCTTGCATCGAGTCTCTGAATGATGGCTGGTAACAGGGATCCCTGCAAATACTTAGAAAATAGTTTTAGTAAATAATTTTATGTGGTTTGGTTGTTTCAGGTTACTGTTAGAACTGGTGACATCCCTACCACTGCTACATCATTTGCAGCTACTGGTAATGCTGCTTACATCCATCATCAATCTACTGCTACTACATCATCTGCAGCTATGGGTATTGGAACAGCCACGCTGCCTCTTCCTTCTGTAACAGCTATTGGTAATGACACCTGTAACAGTAATGACTTAGAACTACCAATAATATCAGGTAATGATGATTACATGCAAAACCTTTAGGAAGGTTGCTAAGAATTTGCTGAAACCCTACACCAAAAGAAATCAGAATTAGAATACTGGGATTGGTTCAAGATTCGCATGTAATCATCGTCATTACCTGATCAAGACCTATTATTGGTAGTCATTACTGTTACTGGTGTCATTACCAATAGCGGTTACAGAAGGAAGAGGCAGCGTGGCAGTTGCAATACCCATAGCTGCAGAGGATGATGTAAGCAGCACTACCAGTAGCTGCAGATGATGTAGCAGTGGGAGATAGAAATGTCCTTCATGTACAAATTCAGTTTTAAAAGGCCCAGCAAGATCCATTTTGGGCTACCAAAATGATCATATGATGAAGTTGAATTTTTTACCCTATGCCATATTTTTTATTTGAGGAACTACCCTGAGGCGGTGTAGGAACTTGGCTCTCTTGACATCCCATTTCCTCATTATGGGCAGCATAATATTTCTGGCATATACATAGAATAGAAGAAAAAAATTCTAAAATTAACAAGAATTTTTTAATGCTGCCAAAGTTAAAAAAAAAGAGCAGAGAGCTGGCCTTTAGTAAAGGTATTACAGCTATATCAGATTCAATGCAGCTGGTTTGAGGACTTCTGAACCCCATCGCTTAACTCAGTCAACTGGAGTATCACCGCACAACTGTTTTCTGCTAATTTGATTGTGGTCGAGCACACACACAAGGTTTCTATCGATATTTCAAAGACACAATTTCTTCCTTCTTTTTTTTCAATAGTATTTTATTTCACTTAGCCATTCCAATAGGAATCAGTTGATTCCAAGTGACACAACAAGGTCTTTGTATGGCTTCTCCTTAGATGTGGCAGCATGCATCCTTTTGGAATATTCCATTTAATGCAGCTTCGTCAAGAAATCAACTCCCATTCGGTTCATACATCACTTATTGCTATGTGATGTGCTAAAAGGTGGGCCTTAATGTCCTTAGTACATTTTAAATCGTATGAAGTGATTCTCTTGGTCATATCTGGGATATGTACCACATTTAATGGCCAAACATGAGGAAAAAACGCAATTTTGTGCGCTTTCGGGCATGGCCATCTTGGATTGGATACCAAGCCTCATCAAAGAGACTAGTTTTGCTCGAGGGTGTTTTAAGCTGCTACCAGTGAGCACGGGCGAATGATTTGGTGAAGAAACGGAGAGAGCTGGCTTACCCTGAATGAAAGTAGTTGGCCATTTCATAGAGAATGAGAGATTTACAATAGGGAAAATTCACCAACTTTGACTTATGATTTCGCATTGATTGAAGAGAGGTGACAGAGATTTTATTTCTTATATCGATAGAGGGAGTCGAGCTGTGCATAAAACCATTTCGATATTTTGACCTACACCCGCATCATAAAAAATAGAGCTAATCTTCGCAGGTATATATTTTTTGTTTTATTCACCATATCTTACAATTTTGCTGATCATTGCTCCCAGAGAATAGATGCGACTTCATGGTCTTCACACTGGGGCACAGGAAGACCCCCACTAACATCACAAATCACCACCATTTTCATCCAAACCCTAGACTCGCCACAATAGGTGGCTGAAAATTGACCAAAAATGACCTGAAAAATGGCAAATAGGCCAAAAATCACCCAGAGGCTGTTTCTCAATAACGGTGAAAATTTTGAAATCGGCCCTTCTGGCTGTGAAGTAGTCAGGGGGAGTCCATAAAATAACCCAGAGATGAACTCGATCTGCCGACCCCCCCATCTTCCCGATTCTGCGCGATTTTGCATGGTTTTCTCATGGAATGAAATGAAATGAAATGGGGTTTAACGTCCTACTGCTCTGCTCCTATACTGGCTAATGAAGACGGGCATACGCCATACAGTGTGCTATGAGGGAAATTTTGCCCGGGCAGCGGCACTATCGCCTACTCTTATATCGAATTCCAACTGCCAGGGGATCTTTTACGTACATTCCAATATATACACGGGTCCTCAGTTTTTCGTCTCATCCGAAGGACTAGACAGCTGTCCTTGTCAGGCCCTCCGTCCTGCATCACTGACATGGGGGAACCACGCCGGAAAATCTGGATGAACTTTCTCGGCCAATGCAGGGATCGAACACCCGACCTACAGGCTAGCGAGCCAGCGTCTTACCCACTTAGCCACGTGATCCCCTCTCTCATGGAATGACTCTTAAATAGCACTCGTACATACAGCAATGTCAACGCACCTTGTTCTGACTTTAGCTATTGTTATTCCAATCCAAATAGTTCTCGGCATTTCTAACTATATTCTAGCTTGTTTAATATTTATTTTAAAATGAAACCACTATTCAAAATATAGTCATAAAGACTCATATCTCGTTATATTTCTCGCGAGATTTCAGTTAAATTAACCAATCATAAAAATTCTACGTTGCAAGCCCGAAATAATTTCTTTATTGTCTAATCAATAGACGCCTTCTATGTTTACTTTATTCTATTCTTAGTAAAATTG